CCAGATCGTTTCCGTGAATTGGCTGAAGAGCCCCGATCCATTCCCCTGTTGCATGTTGTTTTCTCTCATGTTGATATTCATATCTAATTTCTATCTACCTCTGTTGCAAGACTCCTAGCTATTAGTTAGCTACCCTTGTCAAGTCTCTGTGAAGACCGACGGTAGTACTGACCGCAAATTCGAAGATTTCATCAAATGGGGTATCTCAGTTTCGGAGCAGTTGGGGAGTTTTTTGGTGCAAAATTGGCAGCAGAGGAGAAAAGTCCGTGAACCTGGAAGGTGTTCCGGGGGGGTTGTGATTGAGTTTCTCAGAGCTGATGTACTTGGAGATAGAGGGAACAGAAACTGATGTAATGTCTGTTGTAGTTGAAGGGGAGAATGAAGGCCTTTCAGCGGAAACGTGCCATAGTTTAGACTTAATTAGGTCAACACAACGAGGTGAGTAAAAAGGTTGACGTTGTAGGAATCCTTTGGTACATATAATCAGATAAAGGACGAGGAAAGCAATAAAGAAAGGAGAGAAAAGATAAGGATCCTAATGTTACTAAAAGGTAGCAACCAGGAAAGAAAAAGATTCAAAGAAAGTTTTTATTGGAAGGTAGACAGACAACAGAGAGAGAAAAACAAGAATAAAAATGGGTATAACCAGACAGGTGGACTCTTGTGAGAAGGGATCTGCCTGTTTTTATTGTTTCACGATTTTTCAGGGTCTGAAACAATATGGGGTAAGAATAACGGACCAAAGGGATTTTTTCATTTTTTCCCCAAGCTGGCCAGTGAAGAGAAATTGAAAGAACAAAAGGACAAAAGCAAAAGCCCAGAGTGGCAGCAAGCATTGCCTCCTTTCAGCGGCTTCTAACGGTAATTCAGTGGTTCACAAATCACACGTACGTTATCTTTGGCCCTTTCTGTGTCTGTCTCGCAATTGTTTTCAACATATTCACAAGTAATTATCTCTCTCTGCCCTGTATACTGCGAACAAAAAAATTAAATCCGCTAACACCCAATCATCACTTATTCAGTTTCCAGCTGCGACTCTCTAGCACGTCAGAGTAGATAAATTTTCATGATTATACTATCAAATATTAATATACATGACGTGAATAATTTTATGAAAATGAATCAGAAAGTGGCCATCAAATTAATTAACTATACTATCATGAAGTCTCTATAACACTACTCAAGGTATTTGATAATTAGCACAGCAACTCATTAATCAACGATTTGATCAACAATTTGTTAATAATTAGAAAAACAATAATATTTTTATATAAAAAATATGGTAAGAAGTTGATCTGGCAGATACACTGCAGATTCTCTACGGAATTTTCTGTATTAATTGCACTAGTACTTTGAGTCACAGCCTAGGTTATTAATTTATTCATGAAAGCCAAAAGACTAGGCGCAAATACTGTTGGCCCGATGTTCATTTTATTGCTCGTATACACTATATTTTTTGAAGGATGTAGAAGCTTATATTTACTATACTTATTGCTCCTTTGTTGCTTTGGGTTTGCTAACGACAAAAGTTCATGGCATAAAATATTCCATTACAAGATGGTGCTTGTAATTATCAAATGTTCCAACAATAATCTCCCAAAAGCTTTCTTTTCTTTTCTTTTTCTCTCTTTTTTTTTTCTTTTTTGTCTTATTTTTACTTTTGATTGGCATGCTTAAGAAAGTGGAAGCAGCTGCCAGCTGGAGCGCAGAGTTCTGAGAAAAGGAACGAAAATTCTCAAGGTTTTCTGGCTCACTGGCTCGAATCAGCCTAGTGAGATCCTCTTCCTGAATATTCATCCAATCTTCCCCGAGGGACATTGAGAGTTACTCATGGGCCCGAGTTTAAATCTTTTTTTTTCCCCAGTTTTTGTGAGGTTGCGGACCATGTCTGTGTATATACATTCATATTTAACATGCTCAAGTCCGGCCCATGGCCAAGTTGGTGGCAACCCAATATCTTGAAATAGAAAGGGGAAAACAAAGTGGTTGCACCCTATCCCCCCGAGCAACCAAAAGCTGTGGGCCTCAGATTGTTTGGATGACCCACACTGGGTTTGACTCGTGGTTTTTCTCAAGCCTATAGCTAGTTGTCAGCTGTCAGATTTAGTCGAATTTACTCCTCCGAACACTGGGATTAAGTGGGAACTTTGTGTCAGGGCTAATGATTATTTTGGGTGATACCTTAACGAAATTGTGGGGATTTGGGAGGAAGGGAGAACCAAATACGCCTAGAAAAGGTTTTATTTGTACTATTTCGGAACATTTTTGTCTGATGAGTTGCATATCACTACTAAGGCACTGAGATTGCAGCATGTTAAAGTGGTAATAAAAATATATCCCACGTCAGTCTTGAGTCAAAATCTTACGTTACACGTTTACGTTTTAACAAACAGAAAAGAGAACCGACTCTTACGTTTTTGAAAGTTTTTGCATTAGGTTGGATTGTCAGCATGAAAGCCTTTTTCCCTTGAAAACCGTTATAACGATGATGATTATGCTCCAAAGAAGCCGAACAAATTATACCATAAGTGCCCTTTTTTTAATTTCTGAAGAGACAGGAGAGACTGATATGTTTTTGTATCTTTCTTTATGTCAACTTCTAATAGGTTGCAGCTTTCTAAGAGAATATATATCATTGGATGCGTTCTTCTCGTGAGGAGGTATTTGCCTAAGCAAATTCATATACAACATTCACTGTGCTTCATTGATCTACCTTCAAAATCTTTAGATAACTGATCCAATGGTCACAAATCTCTTCAGCTTTAGATACTTCGGCCCACCTATCTGCAGAACAAAAAAGGTCACAAATAAAGAAACATTTAGAATGGGATGGGATAGGACTAGGGGTTATAGGAGTTACAGAGTACACAGAGTTGCATTTTGACAACAGCTTGTCCCGTTGGTAGCTTATGTCACGGCATATCTTTGTGTTATCAAAACGCTTTTCTTTTGTTGGCAACAAAGCAGATTCAGTTCTTCACCCAAGGAATTAAGCTTTTGCAGTGTCAAAGCTGATTCAGTAAAGCCGACATGGTTTTTCTGTTAGTTTCTGCTTTGTGGGTGCACTGTAAACAGAGTTACAGACCAACACAACAGGCGCTAAAGAAAAAAATTACTCTGCGTTTGAGCGCGTCTCGAACTTTGAAACTTGGTACTTCACTTTTTAGTAAAAATCATCATAAATTATTAGAATAACTAATTATTCAAGAAAACAATACAAAATGTGAGAGGCAAATTGTGGGGAGTGGAAGAATTTTAAAGAAAACAACTCGGGACAATTGAACTTAGAAATTTGAATGAATACATAGTTAATAAGTACATGGGGTCCTAACCAAAGGGGGGCATCATATTTGTTTTTTGCCCTTGATTTGTGAGTGTCCTTAATCATTTCACAGGGAGCGTGGCATTTTACATTGGCATTGGCATTGAAAGAGAGAGAGAAAGTCACGCTTTCCCAATCCCACGCGTGAACCTTCTCTTATGCCCTCGAATTTCAAAACCCAAGGCTCCTTCCTCTCAGAGACCTTAAAACCCCGGACTCTCCTCCCTGCCTTTCACTTGGAAACGTAGAGCTCTTGTTTTTCTTCACTAGACCGCTCCCTGGTATCTATTACAACTGCCATCTCTCATCTTGAGAGCTTATACAACTATGTCTGCAGTGAGTTTTCTCCGTCTCTATCTTTCTCTCTCACGAGCACACTCGAAGCTACACAATGGAAATAGAAATGTAGAAATAAAATTCTGAGATGTGTTATAAATATATATTGCAGATGCTGGAGGTCCGAGTTCCAAACCTGGATTGTGAGGGCTGTGTTTCCAAGTTAAAGAAAGCTCTCTTCAAGCTCAAAGGTACATTTTATATTTTATCAATCAAGGTATTTTTATTAGTTCCTATATGTAAATAATGTTACCACCTTAGTGCCTTTGGCCAAGGCAGAGAAGAAAAAGGAAATCAGGACGAGCAATGCCATGTCTTACGCCTAATAGCCTATCCATTGATATTGCCTTTGTTTATCTTTGATTAATTCTAGCTAGCTAAGGAGTGAGTCAATGGACGCGGTAAATTCTATAAGCACGTCCATGACTAGAACCACAATTATAACTCAGATAAGAAACCTTGGCAGAGATGCATTCATGACGCATGGAATGTAGTCGGGCTAACTGCTACATGGTGCTTGATTGGTTGCTCATGGTGGAAATAGCTAAGTGCTCTACGAGCTTAGATACTTGAGGAAGGCCAAGTTCTAGCTTTTTCGGGTTTTTAGTCCTTTTCCTTTGAGTAGAACATCTAACTATGTCCATGGTATTACATACTATATGTTTGACTTGATTTTTTTTAACTCATTTATTTTTTAAGAATTTTTGAAAAGTTTTTAAAAAATTTAACATTTTTTTAAAAAATTAAATAAAAAAAAAGAAAACTTAAAAAAAAACTCCAAAGGAGCTTTTTCTTTTTTTAAACACGTTCCTTCTTCAATACAAAATTACGATCTTTTTCTTCTTTACCTCTCCTTATAAAGACTGTTAAAAAAAACGAAAAACTTAGTAATAGAATAACAAATTCTAAGATTTTTTTTGTTCTTACAAAAATTAAGAGAAAAAAAAACTCAAAATTCAAAGTTACATTTATATACTATTTAAAAGTTCTCTCTTCTTCACCAAAAAATCTAATTTTATTACTATTATATAAGTTTAAAAGTTGTTTTATTTTTTTATGATTTTTTTTATTTTAATATTTAAAATCATATATAAATTCAAAATAAATTTATTTCGCTTTAGTTTATTAAGTGATTGAAAATGACATCAGTAATTTTTATATAATTTTAATTAAAATTAAAACTTACATAATTTATTTTATCAAATAATTTTAACTTAAGTTTAAAAATTATTATTTTTTATAATAATTTTATTATAACTTTTAAATTAAAAAAATAGACTAAACAAGCTCATAATCCCCTCACTCTTTGGAAAAATGGGCCATATCTGGTAAATGAAGGGAACAATGGGCTTTTTCCAGCTGTCCCAGTCTCTCTTTTAAAGCATAGATAGTTGAAGATTTGGACCCAAAATTATCTGGACAGCCCAACCAGGACTTGCACTGTGCTCTGCTCTGGTAACTTGGCTTTCATGTGTATCTTTTAGGGGTTGAAGAAGTGGAAGTAGAAATGGAGATCCAGAAAATCACAGTCCGAGGCTATGCCCTGGAGGAAAAGAAGGTGCTCAAAGCTATTAAACGGGCGGGGAAAGCAGCAGAGCCGTGGCCATTTCCAGGATACTCCCACTACGCCTCATTTTACAAGTACCCAACCTATATAGTGAACCATTACTATGACACTTACAAAAATGAAGCTTCCAACGGTGTTCATACTTTCTTCCAAACCCCAGCTGTTTACTCGGTTGCCGTGGCGTCTGATGAGGCCGTTGCTTCACTTTTCAGCGACGATAATCCACATGCTTGCTCTATCATGTGAACACATGCGGCTTGTTTTTCATTCTCTTTTATTTATTTCCCTTCAATTTTGTTTGAATTCGGTTTGCCTACCAGTGCATGCAACTATTGGTTAAAAAATATGAACTTAGGTGGAATGTTATGGCTTCCTACGGCTATTAGCCTATCTATCGCACTTCAATTTGAAGCCTCGTGCCAATATAATATAGTAAAAGATGGCAATTGAACGAGTTCAACCAGTTGAACTAGTTTGAATTCAAGTCATTAACTTTCCAAACTCAACTCGTTTGGGAATATTTCGACAGTCACGTTTACCAATTAAATCACGGTAACTTTTACTACTTGTCAATTAAGAAGATGGGTGGGTTTGCATGGAGAGGATAGGGCTGGTCGGTCAGTGGAGATATTCAAAACTCATCCTCACTTTGATTAATTGTTGGTACTTTTGAGGTAAAGAAAGTCTACGGTTACTTTTTGAATGGGAGAATCTTGAAAAGCATGACAACACAAGCCGCCCCTTTCCAAAGGATGAGCTGCCCAAGTTGTCCACAGCCCACTTTTTTGCTTCGTTCACCAGAAACTGAAAAGGCTCAAGAAGAAAAGTAGAATGATAAATAAAAAGGGCTGAGCCAATTTGTGGACCATGCAATGTATATCTCAACCAATTAGCAAACTGATCCATTTCAATGAAAGCGATTAAAGGCAAAGCTTCTGGTCCACAACCAGAGTCTAGATTTAATGAGTTCTTTGAAAAGGCTTTCCATTGTCAATAGAATTTCAAATATTGACGATAAGGTTTAATCCTCTTGGAGAAATAGTTCTAAATTTGGCACTGCGAGTTCAGAGGCAATGAATTTGCCACCAATCTGATTTTCAGAGGCGGTTAGATGGAAACAGAAAAAGAAATGTCAATCAAGTGGCAGAAAATGCTCCATCAAGCCAGTACAAGTTTTATCAAATGACAAAAATTCGGCATGTGGCCAGGAACTGTACATGACAAGGATCCATTTGAAGGATGTGACTAATCAGACTGATGACCTCCTCAAAATTTTCAGGCTTTATAAAGGCTACTGGTCCTAAACTTTTCATTTCAATTTCCCTATTTGCTCAAAGCTTCTCAGTGTTTCTCATCACCAAAATGGCTCAGGTGATTTTCCCTTTGCTCCTTATGACTTTCATGTTGATGTTCTTCTTCTTCTGTTTTTTTTTTTCTTTATTTCTCATGTTTAGTTCTTTTAGCAGAAGGTGGTCCTCAAAGTTCTAACTATGACTGATGACAAGACCAAGCAAAAGGCCATAGAAGCTGCTGCAGATATCTATGGTATTTTATTGTACTCTGTAATTTGTTTGCATTATAAAGATTTTTCACCTTAATCTTTATCAAAATTCAGATCTGGATTTGTCTTTTATTAAGTCTCATGAGTAATGGGGTGTTGCTCTAAACTTTTTTACAATTCCAAGGTCATATTAGTCTAATACTAAAAACTTTTTGGATCTCTGCTTACCCTTTTATGCGTACTACTAAGTACTATCACGAATCAGAGGCATTAGAGCAGATCATATGCAAATTTTGTTCCTTTTCTCTCTTTTTTTCTGGCAAGTTTGTTTATATGAAGATTGTGACCGACAGGAGTTGATTCAATCGCGGCGGATCTAAAGGATCAGAAGCTGACAGTGGTAGGACAGATGGATGCAGTGGCAGTGGTGAAGAAGCTGAAGAAAGTAGGCAAAGTGGACATAATATCAGTTGGACCTGCCAAAGAAGAGAAGAAAGAAGAAAAGAAAGAGGAAAAGAAGGAGGAGAAAAAGGAGGAGAAGAAAGAAGAGAAGAAAGAGGAAAAGAAGGAAGAAAAGAAGGAAGAGAAGAAGGAAGAGAAGAAATGAAAAAGCCATCTCAGCAAGCAAACCATGCTTACTTCTCCTTCTCCTTTGTATGTTTTTGTAGAAATAAGCTTTTGAAAATTTGCAGAAGGTATAATAGCGTGAAGTGCCTGTCTGCAAAATCTAATTCAAGCACAATGAGCAATGTGAAAGGGGTTTTGGTTTGGTTGAGGTACCATCTTGGCACAAGAATAATTAGACGGTTGATTGTTAGATAGATAATGTAATTCCAGCTTCAAAGCAAGATTACTTTACGCAGATTTGAGTCATGAGAGATACGCCGGTTTTGTCTTATTGACCAAATTAAATTTATGCAAAGAAAGAGGTTTTCGAACAAATAAGAGGTTTCCTCCTATTTGTTCGAGGGTCACTTTCCATGGATGAAAAAGGGCCATCGCAGTCCAATTACGGCAACATGTTCTCTAGAAAGGAATTAATTACTCAATACCATCATTCGCCTAGCCCTAACGCCTATTCTTAAAAGCTTAGCTGTATTCGAATATTTAATTTATTAAGAATAAAGTTTAAATTTTTTCTCTTTTAATTATATATTAAAAAAAAAACTTAGTTTCGGTGAGCCTGGACTCCGTAATGCTTAACGTTTAATGCTAACTAGTGTACGTATTTCATGTAGCTACGTAATGCTGATGCATGATGGGAGCCGGCATCATCTTGAGAACGATTCAGGTTAAAACAAGAATTAAAATTAAATTGCCACCATTAATTTAGAGCTCAGGCAATTAACAAGGTCAGGTTGGGTGTAGAATTCCATAGCCGCCTTCAAAGTAGTAAAAAATTACTAGGAGAATTCCATCACCTGGTTGAAACCTTAGCAGCGTAAGTTCAGAGAACTAGCGGTTCACGACACTAAGAAGAGCGTCAGAGCAGTCAGTTGGGTTGACCAGGATTCAGATGTTCACGAATTTCGATGCATGCTATCTACCAGTAGGTAGCAACGCCATTTGAATTATACGTAATATGTGTATAGCCATAAAGTTAAACAGATAAAACTAGATAAGTACAATTATATTTTCTTTTCCTTGGTCTTGTTAGGGTTTCAAGTTTGTGTACAAAGGGTGCACTCGGAGGTGGAGGAGAGGTAAGAGTGAGTAAAATCAATTCAGATTAATTATTTATTTAAATTAAATGTGATTTAGATAACATAATTTGGTTTAATTAGTTAATTGGACCACTTAATTCAAAATGTTTGAATCAATTAGTTTTTTAGCGGGTTCTTGATTTTAAAATTTTTAGATCAATCCATTCAAAAAATAAAATTATGTTTTATATATATTTATAAATATTAATATATAAAATATTTTTTATATATATTAAGAAGAATTTAGAGTAAATTTAATTAATAATATATTTAAAATATACTAAGGTATTATACATACATATATAAATTATAATAATAGTAATTTAATATTAATTATATTTATTTATTTATAAATCTGTATTAATGTGAAATTACAAGTTATATATTTTAAATGATATAAGTTATGTGTTAATATTATAATATATATTATAATTATTACACCTTAGCAATGTTTTGTAATATAAAATACTATAAATATATATAATTGTATAAATATATTATATATACATATATTTAATTTATACATAAGTATTACTATAATTTATAAAAAATTTTATTTATATAATTACACTTAATAACTTTATTAGTTATAACTTTAGATTATATTACATATTGTATATTATTAGTTATCATTTATACAAACTTTAATATAAAACATTTTAGCGTATAATTTGTATCATTAATTCTATATATAATAAAATAATATATTATACATATTCATATATTTAATTTATATATAAGCATGACTATAACTTATAATAAATTTTATTTATATGATTACACTTAATAAGTTTATTAACTATCACCTTAGATTTTATAACATATTCTTTATAATTAGTTATTATTTATACAAACTTTGTTATAAAATATTATAACATATAAGTTATATCATTAATTTCATACATATAATTATGGATGAAGGTTATAAATTTTAATATTGTAATTTATAAAAAAAAAGTAATAAAATTTTGATCCATTGGTCTAAAACCGGATCAACCAAACTAATTTTATACTTGGTTTGTTTGATCTTTTTTTATATTTGGTTGGTTTTAGTTGATTTTTTAAAATTTATTTATCCATTTGGTCCTTAAGTATGGTGGACCAAACCACTTAATCCATCTATTCTCTCAACCTTAAGGAGAAGGACGCTAGTGTGGCCTCATCCCTCAACAATTTTAAAATATTTATAACTTACTAACTGAGTTTTATATTTTTGAAATTTTATAATTTCATCTTTATAAAATTTTAATATTTTTTAATGTATTTTAATTTTTTAAAAATTTTATAATTTTATCCCTACAGTAATATTTTGTTTGATGAGATGTCTCACAATAATTAATTAATAATTAATTTTAATATATTTAAGATTAAAATAAACTAAAATTTACTACAATAAAATTATTTTCAACCTCACTTTTCTAAAATCTAACAACCAGCACCTCTTCTTTTGTTTTCTTTTTACTAAATAGAAACGAAAGTCTTTTCTTTTTCCTATGTACTTTTAAAATGATTTCAAATCATTTGAAATTGTAAATATTTGTAACTTTACAAATAAATATTACCCTAATAACTTTACTGAACATAATAAAATGCATATAAATTAGTAATTAGATCTATTCAAGATTAACATTCTTTATAATCAGGTTTTGAAAAATATATCTACACTTCCTAAGTTATCTCAAGTGTTAAAAAAGTTGTGAATATAAAAAATTTACTTTCTTATTGATAGATTAATTTAACTTATTTTGACTCTTTTAGTTTCCATTATAAACTCAAAATGTGCATTTTCTATTATGAAAATCGTTAAAAATGAAATTTGTAATAAAATGTTAGGCGATTTTTTTATAAATTCGTTGTTAAGGCTTTGACATTGACTCACAATGTTGTGATAGATATTTTCAATTTTATGAAAAGCCGTTGAATTTCATTAAAGATGTCCAACTTTAACGTATAATAGATATTAAAAAATATATTTATTTTGTCCTTAACAAGTAATGAAAATTATGTGCAATTTTGACAAAAAATTTTTCTATCTAAATTACTTTATATTTTTAATAAATATTGAAAATGTTTTATAAATATTAATTTTCTTTCTTAAAATACGAAATTCCATCTCGACCACTGAATGCACTTACATCCATGCACTAGTAATTCTATGTTTACAACCGTAAAATACATACAATGGCAGACTGCTTAGCTGTCTTGTTTACGCCTGCACTGGAAGGAGTGACAGTGACGACCCTGATTTTCTAACCATAACCCAGCGAGTTTTAAACACTGGAGGAATAAGGATTCCGCTTCATATGTTCTCAATCCCGTAAAATAGCACGTCATCATCGACAAGAAACAATGGTATGCCTCCGCTACAGCAGAAGTTGCCACATCAAAAATCCAAACTTAGCTGCATATTATAGCATGAGCACGTCTTAATATTTCTGCCACTCTCAGGTCTCAGCAGGGTGAAAAGGACAAAAATAAATGACCAGCTAATGCGAGACAGAGGATAAAAGATTATTCCTTGAAAACGCTAGCAATATATGAACCTTTAAGCAGGTTCCTAGTAGAAGCTTACCAAGTCACTGGAAGTCCACTACAAGGAAGATATGGGAAGATAGCGATAGCTTATGGAGATCAAAAACCGAGCTCTAATAAATAAGTGGGTCTGGAGATATGAGAAAGATAGAGGTAACCTATGGAGAGAAGTCTTGGTTGAAAAACCCGAAAGCGATCCAACAGAGTTGTTGCCAAACACAAGTGCAAATAGTAGAGTTTCGACTTTATGGAGAAAAATCATCAGCCCCCTTTCTCCTTCTAACAAATTTTTTTGCAGGTTCATGTTAACATTGGGTACGCTATGGGAGATGGGAAGAACCTACTGTTTTGGAGAGATGAATGGATCGAGGGAATTACTTTGGCCCATGCCTTCCCAAGAATCCATGCTTTGGCAGATTTTCGACTGGGAGGTGAACAGTGGGAGCAGTTTATCATTGTGCTCCAGGATTTCCAATTAAGTAAGGAGCTCAAAGACGAGCTTATTTGGATATGTAAGGCAAGCGGTAATTATACTGCAAAGTCTTTTTGTAAGTATGTCTTAACCATTAACCAAGATTATGATGAGATTTGGAAACATGTTTGGGTTAGTCTTGCACCATTTAGAGTGGAGTCTTTTGTGTGGCAATTAGTCCAGGGTAAGGAGGGGGTTAAGGATGAATTAGTGAAAAGGGGTTTACAACGCAATGGGACACCACAGTGTGTCTTATGTGATAGGACTAGGGAAACTTGTGATCATCTATTAATGGAATGTGTTGAGTCATGGAGGGTCTGGTCAGAGTAGTGTAAAAACTGGGGATGTGTCTGGGTATCACCAGGGAAGATTAAAGAGCTGCTGTTGGCATGGAATGGATGCCAAGTGGGAGAGCTTGACAAAAGGATTTGGAATATGGCTTTTTTTTTTTTTAATCTAGTGTTTGGTCAATATGGAAGTGTAGGAATGAGATGGTGTTCGAAGGGAAACAGTGGAATGCAAACCTGTGTGTTGAGCTGTTTTAAATCAGAGTTGCAACTTGGGTAAATGCAAAATGGCCAAAGGAGATTCCTTCAGTTCTTTATACGTATCGACAACCTCTAACAAAATGTCAGCAACAGAAAATGGTCCAAGGCAGAAAAGGAGTGGTATGGGTGAAACCCCTACGCAATTGCATGAAGTTGTACGTCGATGGCGCCGCAAGAGGAAGTCCTGAACCTGTGGGGATAAGAGGCGTTCTGAGAGATCACCAGGGCGATATTAAAATTACTTTCTCCAAATCCGTAGGAATAGGGGATGCCAACCTTGCTGAGATACTAGCAGTAAGGGAAGCACTTGTGGTGTTCCTAGCATCAAGGTGGAAGGATCACTATAAGCTCATCATTGAAAGTGATTCTAGTAATGCAGTGAAGTGGGTTCAACATCCTGAAACGGCACCCTGGAGACTACAGAAGTGGCTGCTTCAAATTGAAAGGTTGAGAGAAAAGCATAATGATTGGAAAATTCAACAAGACAAGAGGGAGGCAAATCAGAGGGCAGATGCACTAGCAAAGGAAGGAGTTGATCGGCAATCAGATTCCTTGCGTGTTTTTCTGTAAGCACTCGGGTTCTATGTCTTTTTTACTGTTGGGTCATAACGGCTCTCTGGGTGAATGCTGGTTCGGTGGTGGGAGTCAGTGAGTCTGGGTTCTGCTGGAATTTTTGAGTTAAGAATTGCTGGGATTTGGTTGGAGAGGTAGTTTGGTGGTGATGACACCCGTGGTTGGCTCTGGAATGATCTCGGATGAGTTGTGATGGTGCCTGTTTCAAGAAATGGATCTTGGGTTAGTGGTAGCTGTAAATGATAGGGTAGGTGTTTTTGGCTCCTTGCAAATAGGTTCTTGAGCTGAACTGCGGACATGAGTTTTTGTTTCTGTGTTTTTTTTTTGGGGGTCTGATCGGGGTTAGGCACCTTGATTTTGTGCTGTTCTTGATTATTGGAATTCGTAATGGCATAGGTACAGGGTCTTCTGGGAAGGTCTGAGCTTTTTGTGACCTTTCATGGGCATGTTTTTGTGAAAGGGTCCTTTCATGCCCTCTGTTTTAATGAAAGTTTACGTTTTTCAAAAAACAAAAAGGGTCAACTACAAGGAGGTATCTTCAATCTTCTCTAAGTCAAAGTTTGAGACTAGAGGATACAGCAGTGAACTAGAAGATTCCCAAATACTTATCATAATGTAAGATAATTGCAGAAAGGCATCAAGCATTTATATGTAGTCCTAAGAAGGGGAAAGAGAGTCAAAAAGCAGTAATTATGGTGGAAGCCTGAAGGTCATCATTTCTCTTCAACATAGCCAAAAAAAAGCTCCTTCCTTATTGCAATACCTGAGCTTGAAGACTAAAAACTTATTCAAGACAGACCTTCCACACTCCTCATGAAGGGTGGGAATGAAATATCACAGCAAAACTGAAGCCAAATATCTTCCACCAGGGATCAATGGGCACGTTCCACTTAACCTACAAGAAACAATCACTCAATACTAGCTGGAGATCTCATTCTATCTTCTGTCAGCTCATTTAACTCATTCACCTTTGTATGCTGCATTAAATCTGACACCAGCAAAACTGGAATTCAGCAAGAACGTCGCCAAGGACAGCAGCCTTGTAAGCTTAGAGGCACTGCAAAATTTATGAATGGAATGAAAACCAGACAGGCTGCTATTGAGCTGATCCATAATGACTGAGAATCTGTAATGGAATGATAGGAACAGCATAGACTAAAATTCTTCAGTGACATGTGGAATATTGAATACCTGCAGGACAAGGAAATGGAAGAGCAAAATTATCATTTTATTCCCCTCTTCCCAGTGCCAATGGAAACAACATTCTCTACATTCTATATGAAAATCATCCTTTCTTCCTTCTCAGTCTCACACAATTTCTGGGGAAAAATGAGAGAAGGTGCTTGATTATGAACAACATGATAATTAACACAATTGCAGGTGTCGACATTTGACCCAGATACATATCAAGGAAGGGGTGTAACAAATTCAAGTAGAAACATTATCACCTTAATGGGATCAGTGCACAGCTCATTGCCAATGGCACCATGATCACCAACCAACAATCCACTTTCTTTTGACTCTTGGGAAAACAGAATGCTGCTTTTCTCCTGTTAGGAGAGACTGTAGTTTTAGGGGAAAGAGAGTACATCAGTCTTCCTCAAAAAACCTTCAGCTCCTATATTTTCCCTTTCATGCTTTTCAGAACTAACAATCAATTATTATCTGATATTCAGTCCTCCAAGTCAATACCTACACAATCACACCCATAAAGGTAAAAAGACTTTGTACACATTAATTTTTATTATGCCAAATCCCTGGCTTAAATAGGTGCCCAAGAGGAGGTGAGATTATTAGTTAGTACAACCTAGAAAAATAAAAGTCAAAAACAATAAAATAACAAGAATACAAAGAAAACAAATGCCAACTGAAGATAGGAGAATATATAGAGGATGTTGGCAGCATCTAGGATAGCTTTCACATTTTAGTGAAAGTACATAAACTGGAATTTTCAACTCTCAATCCAGATCCTAGATTCTCACAATTTCCAGTCCTGGAAGTTACATTAGAATAAAATTCAACAATTCATTCCAAGAAAGATTTTTAAGAAAATTTAATTGCACATTGAAGCCAACTGAACAGTGGGGGAGAAAGTAAGGGAAAAGATAAATTAATTTGGCTTTCCACTGAGTTTCAATCAATTGAATACCAAAATATGAGAAGGGAAAGAAGAATGTGCATACTTTATTCTTTCTACTCCCTTGACATCTATTAAAGGCAGCAGGTATGTGGCGCCAACATACCTGAATCATCGAGTATACCGGCAATTAAGTTACAATTAACAATCTTTATATTGTACAATCTACTGCTTTAGCATCTTCTAAATCTTTTGATCTTTGAGAGTAGATGAACATATTGCCCCTTCTCCACCATGTTTTTTATTACTTCACGAGCTTCAGAAAGCCTTCCAGCATTCCGCAAATGACTCACTAGGGTACTATACACAACAAAATTTGGGTTACATCCTCTAGCTTCCATTTCCTTAAGTATGGAGCATGCCTCCTCAAACTTTCCTGCCATACAATAACCACGAATCATCGAATTGTATGTAAATACATTCGGAAGTTGTCCATCAGCAATCATCTCATCAAACATTTCTTGAGCTTTCTCAAGCTCCCCACCCACAATGAATCCGGTAATGATTACAGTGTAGCAAACCACATCTGGCATGCATCCAATCTTTATCATTTCATCAAAAAAATACTTGCAAGCATCCAAGTTTCCAGCACGACTTAGGCCATCTATCAATGTTGTGAAATGAAGAACACCTGGGTTTAATCCCACTTCTCTCATGTGATTCAAAAGATTAAGTGCTGCTAGTGGCTTATCCCCTTTGCCAAGAACATGGAGAAGAATGTTATATGTATGAAAATCAGGGGAAAATCCACTTCTACCCATTTCATCAAGTAACCTGTGAAATTGATCCAACTTACCCAATCGATATTCTGCACACATAAGAATATTGTAAGTTAGAGTATCTGGGGCAAGACCCTCGGCTAACATCTGCTGGTAGACCCACTCAATAAGCTTGTACTGGTTCACAACAAGAAGTGTATGCAGAATGGCATTATATGAATGCTTAAATGGCCTATAATTGAATGTCTTTGACTTGATGAACCTCTCCACAACTTTCCTAGCCAAGCCTGCCTCTCCACACGTGCATATCAAAATGTTAAATGTCCTTGCTGTTGTAGGGTACCCATTCTCGATCATCTCATCTACTAGTCTCCACATTGCCTTGTGTTCCTCACACTCTGCAAATATCTTCATTATCAAATGATACGAGTTTGTAGTATGCCTATAAGTTTCTTGCTGACCAGACCACATGAAAAACTTATACCCTAGTTTTGCACACCTGGTCTTATTCACATAATTTATGTTCTTCAAAATTCCCACAAGGACTTCTCTCACGAGAAACCCTGAAACCCTCATCTGCATTTCACTAAGAGCTGCTTTTGCATCAAATCCCGGCCCATCTTGTTGTAAAACCTCAAGAATTCTCCTAGCATCATCCCTCCCGCTCTTGAAAAATCCATGCCTGGTTGAAAAACGGCCCACCGAGCCGCTTGCATACCCCCCAAAATTATCGTGATTTCCATCAAAAACAGAGTCCAAACTGGAACCCTTATACATTCTCTTCAAGAGTTCCTCAGAATAATAAAACTCACTATCGATTTTATCCCTATCAAAACCACTATCGCATAATTTTCTGGATACAATGATAATATAACAAGATTTATAAACATTCCTCGTACCAAATAGAGCTATAGAATTCATTTTTACTACCTATAAAGCATCGGGGAATCCCCATTATTTTTGAGTCCTTGAAATACCAAACAAATCCAAGAAACCCGCAAGCAGATTGGAATATCTAAACACGGGGAGCTCGAAAAACTTTGTGCTATCGAGTTGAGAAATTCCCATTAAGCTGAGAAATACCCAATTGCATAATAGCGGATTATTGGGACAGGAGATGTTCATCGAATAGATACACTTTCGTTGTGAAAAAATTGGAATCCCATAGGGAATGAAAGAATGAAGACTTACCTGGGATGAAGCCGGTGGCCCGGAATATTATAGGAAAATATTCGAGCTGGTTAAAGTCTTTCCCCAGGGGTTTTGCAGGTGTAAGAGTAGAGGACAAGTGAGAGAACTGAGAAGTGCGAAGTAACAACAAACAAATACGAATGCGAGGGATTGAGGGCAATCTGGTTTTACTAGAAACGGCGTGTTTCTATGTCCTTCTACTTCTAGTCTCTAATCTTGACTGCTTTCTCATCAGAATTGTGTTTTTTTCTTTTCTTTTTAATATTTATAATATTTATATAGTTACATATGGAACACCTGCTGCTAACAAGTACAAGACTCGTCAGATGAACTT